TGGGATCAGGCCTACAAGGAACCTGGGAGAGGGCACTTTTATGCAGGAAGATACAGTAGAAACCTAGCACGTGCTGCTATTGCCCCCTCCCAAAAATCACCCCCCACATTTGGGGTAGGGGGCAGCTGAGTATTGCCCCAGGGCAAGGACCAGCTGCTGCTTTGAACCACCTCGCATAAGGCAACAGCTCTGGCATTACCATATTTTCCCGCATATACTGTGCACTTGCCTGCCCCGCAAAATCCCTGCGCCCCCTCCCCCCCCCCATATTTTGAGGCGGGGGGCATGAGGGGGGGAATCTGGTTTCTTGCCCCAGAGGGAAGCCCCCTTGCTGTCATCCCCATTGTGGCAGCTGTGTTATTACTGCATTTTCATGCATAGAACATGCGATCCCTGCCCCCAACTCAGCCCCCACAAATTTGGAGGGTGCATATCAAGCAGGAAAGCTGATTTTTTGCCCCAGAGAGAAACTCTCCTGCCTTGATCCCTGCACTGCAGCCTGGGCGTTACCATCTTTTCTGACGTGTAATGCACAGCTGTCTCCCAGAGGCGAGTAAAGGGGCCTGTTGTGCGCTAGAAAATACGGAAGCTAGAGAATGCCAAAGTAGGGGTGGCTACGGCCCTCCGGCCTTTGGAAGAATACAGGCCTGACTAATTCACCGATCGTATTTCTTTGGCTTCGGATACAACTTTTAAACCGCTTAAAAAGGGGGAAACATGGACAGCAAACGATCATATTTATTCATGTATCACATGCCTGTCACTGCAGCCCACATCTTCATTGGGAAAGGAGGGTGGGGGGAAGTTTCCCATGTCACTGCACTCTCCAGAATCCATTTCCAGCTCCATTCCCTGATTTTGGGGGGGAAAAGAGGCGCATGGTAGGTGAGTAAATACGGCTTTGGGAATGGTTGGGCTCAGAGGTGGTGGGGGGTGGGAACTCTTTTTTCTGCCTCTTCCCAAATGAGCCACATGTGTGATTTAAAGGGGAGACGCGTTGTACGCTAGAAGCTACGGCAGAGCCCGACAATGGCGGCTGGTAGCAGCTACGCCGCCGTCCGCGACCACCGCCAGGAGCTCGTGGACATCATCGGGCGCGATCCCGAGAACACCCTGGACGAGCTGGTGGCCCAGTCGCTCCTCAGCGAGGACGAATACGACGCCCTCAACCAGACGCCAGGGGCAGGGCCCAAGGTCAGGAAGCTGCTCATTTGCATTCAGAAGAAGGGGGAGGCGGCTTGCCGGGCCCTCCTGGAGCAGGTGGACGCCCTCTTCCCAGGCTCCGTTCAGGCCTTGCTGCGCCCGCCGCTTCCCCGGCCCTCGCTCTACGGTAAGCTGTGCCCCTTTACCATGTTTTCCTGTATGCAACACAGCACAGCGTAGGCTTGGATTTGAGCTCTCACCACCCCTAACTGTTGCCGTGTTTATCCTCCCCGCCACCTCCAAACCACCTACATTTCTTCTTCGCTTTGCTTTTCCTTATAAAGAGCTCTACCCAGGAACCACCAAGCTCCTCTCCCTCGACTGGATGGGGAATTGGCAGAATATCTGCCCCCTTATCAATGTGCCAAGACCAGCACACAAAGCAAAAGGAAACGGAGATGGGAGATTAGCATTGTGGTATAGTGGGGAGAAAAATAGGCGGGTTGTGCGCTAGAAAATACAGTAAAACACAGCTTATTGTTTCCGTTATTCCGTTCCCTCCTCTGCTTTTTAATTAATTAGTTGCGTTCCTCCCTGCCTGGCTAGATTTCTACAACCCCGAACGAGACGCGCAGCCATCGCGATTCTCTGAGCGCCAGGAGAGGGACTGTGTCCCCCCCGAACCAGCTGCAGGAGCGGGAGAGCAGGAAGAAGAAATGCCAAGAGACAAGGAGGGGGAGGAAGACGAAGACAATGAGCGGGATCCCCAGGAGGAAGGGGAAGGGGCTGAGGGGGAAGCAGACACAGCCCCAGACCCGGAGGAAGAGGAGGGCGGAAGCCCAGAAGAGCCAGAGCCAGAACCAGAACCAGAGCCAGAGGAAACATATTCAGACGCCGATTAACACCCCCCCCCCCCCCCCCCACAAAAGAAAAATCAACAACAAAAATCAAAGCCTCTAGAACATTTAAACAAGGAGGTGAATGAGGGAGATGTGACAGTTGTAGAGAGGGAGGAAAAAAGTGAGTGTTGTATACCAATAAATACAGTAACTGGCATTATCTGAGCATAACGCAAAGCAGCAGCCAGACCAGGATTAAGGCCATTCAAGCTAATGGTGGCATGAATAAGGGAAATGAGAGTCATGGGGGGGGGGGGGGGGGGGGGGGGTGTGTTAAAAAAGGGGAAAAGAGGGTGTGGGGGGGGGGGGGGGGAAGCATGTTGTATACTAATAAATACGGTAGCCGACATTATACACCAATACATTTGGTAACTGGCATTACATGAGTGTAACAAAAAGTAGCAGCCAGACCAGGATTTAGGCGGTTCAAACCAATGAGGTGGAGGAGGGAGATGAGACAGTCCTAGAAAGGGATAAAAAGGGAATGCTGTATACCAATAAATGTGGTAAGTGACATTATACCCCAATAAACATGGGCACTGGCATGGTAGCAGCGTAACAGAGCAGCAGCTGGACCAGGCTTCAGGACCAAGGAGGTAAACGAGGGAGCCCAGGCACAGGGCAAAGAGGAAAATGTGAGCATGTGTACCAATTACTGTGATAATAGGCATTAATACAGTAACGGGCATTATATGAGCATGATGCAAAGCGGCAGCCGCGGGGGTGAGGTTAACGAGGGGAGGAGACCTTTCACTCGCCCGCTTCCCAGCGGTGACCTCGGCCTGCGTACAGGACGCTGACATAACTTGCTCCCAATGCACCGTATTCGTCCGACTACCACCGCTCTCAGATGAAACACGCCCCTCCATTTGGGGAAGACTAATCAAAACGATTTTCCCCTTTAAATCAAACTGTCCAGAGCCAGCTGGAGACCCCCATTTTCAGTGGGGGGGGCGGGATGGGGGGGGCAGGTGAGAGTTATATGCCAATAAATAAGGTAATTGACATCCTACCAGTGGAAAACCAGGTAGCAAGCAGACCAATGAGGTTAATGAGACAGATCAGGGGAGGGGGCTAAATCCAGCCTGCATCTTGGATGAACAGAACCTGATCACTGCAACATACCGTATTTACCCACCTATCACGCATCCTCTGACATGGCACATGCCCTCACTGTGGAAAAGGGGACAAAACCCAAAAGGTTCCTTTCCCTTTAAATTGAGCGGGCCAAAGGCAGGTGGACATGCCCCGACTTACAGGGAAAAGCAGTGGGGGGGAACGTTATATACTCAAAACTAATGGCATAATTAGCATATAAGCTAATTTGTCAAAGGGACCCTAGATGCGTTATATACACAGCACTATGGTAAATCCCCACCCCGCCTGTATAAAGTAGGAAGGGTGTTCTTTATCCTTAACTGTTTGGAGGTCGTTATGGTAATTAGGAGCCTTCTCCTATCAGACCTGATTGCAGAGCTCTGGGGAGATCCTGTATTACCTCGCATACAACGTGGGTACCTTGTTTCTTCCTCTGCCCACCTCTCCCAACAAGGCTTTTCCAGGGTTTACAGCCCCATGGGCCAGCGCCTGTGTTCACGCCTCTTTCCCCTTCCCTGCTTAACTAAAGCTGAAGCGCTAGTTGCTGCAGGAGCCCGATTTCTGTGGGCGGAGCCATGACTTGAGGCTGGGATATGGGAGGGGAAGAGAACAGCTGGTGGAGAGCAACATCCTGGAATGAGATCATTAAGGAAAGAGGGTCGATAGCAGCTCCTCGTTCTTCACTCCACAGCCAAGACAACTCTCCTGGGAAGGAACTGAGCACCCACCTCGGCCTCCACTTGGCACTATGGTACCAACCCCGACAGTCCACCAAGGCCTGTCCAAATTTGCATGTTTAATAATGGTAGTGAAATACAATGAGTCCAACAGGAATCCAATCCTCTCCCCGCCGCAAAGCCACCTGGGAGAATCCCAAATATAGTCCATGGGAGGTGAGGAGGGGACGTGTGCAAAGATCAAAGTCTTCCCCATCCTGCCAGAGGGGGCAGGGCCATGCAGCTCATCCGAAGCCATCCCCCGCACTGCTGTCCTGGGGGGGGGTCTGCTTGGTTGACAGGGAGTGGTGATGAGGACAGGAAGTGGGGGGGAAAAAACGGGGGGGGGGCGAGACAGGAAGCGAGTGTGCATGGGGGAGGGAAGAACGAAAGACTGGGACAGGAAGTGGTCGAGCAGGACAGGAAATACAGGTCCTCCAGGCAGGAAGTGGGGGCTGGCTATGACAGGAAGTGGGGGCAGGGGTCAACCAGGACAAGAGGTGGGGTGTCCACAGACAGGAAGTGGTCGACCACACTGGGAAACACAGGCCCGCCAGGCAGGAAGTGCGGGATAGGCAGACCAGGAAACGGGGTGTACACGAGGACAAAGTGGGGCGCTCCAGAGAGGAAGGGAGGCGCCCCCAATAGGAACCGGGGGTACGCAAACAGGAAACGAGGGCTCAACCAAGACAGGAAGCAGGGCCACTCCAGGCAGGAGGTGAGGCTCCCCCGCACAGGAAGTGGGGTCCCCCACCCGGGAAGTGACCTCCCAGGCCCCGGCCAAGGCCTCCGAGGCTGCCGAGCGCGCCCCAAGCGGAGCGGGAGGGAAGCCAGGCGGGCGGCGACCCTAGATGCGGAAGCTCTCCTCCCTGCCGTCGATGTGGCGCAGGCGCAGGTAGACGTCGGTGCCGATGCCCTGCAAGGACTGGAGGCACAGGGACCCCCCCAGGTACTCGGCGTAGGCCCGCGACGTCGGCAGCCCAAACCCGAACCTGCGGGGGGAGGGAGGGGGAGGGGTGAGAATGGGCCCGGACGCCTGGGCTCTCGCGGGGGGAGGGGGGGCCACAAAGGCCGCTGGGAACTCACCCATGCATGGGCCCCGACTGCCCGCTGTTGGACATGTCCACCAGGCCCCCGCCGCGGTCCGAGATCCTGGGGGGGCGGGGTCAGGCAGGGGCCCCAGGTGCCCGGGCACCCACAGCCCCCTGCTCTCAGCCCCCACGTGCCCCAGGGAACCCAGCTCCCCGCCCCGCCCTACGCAACCCAGGCGTCTGCCTCCCCGCCCCGTACTGGATGATGAGGTCAATGTCGTTGTTGGCGATGGTGATGACAATGTCGGGCACGTTGTAGGGCGTGTCCAGGTGCGACTCCATGGTGGCCCTGCGTGGGGGGACGGGGCGGGGTGGGGCCCTGCCCAGGCCCCGCCCCCCCACTGGCCCGCCCCCGCCCCCTGCTCACCTCATGGCGTTCTTGAGCAGCTCGGGCAGGATGTAGTCCAGGGGCATGGGGATGAAGGGGAAGCGCGCAGCCACGTGCCCGTTCACCCGCACCTGCGGCGCGTTGCCGTACTTGTGCTCGCACAGGCGTCTGCGGGGGTCGGGGGGTGAGGGACCCAGGCGTCTGGCCCCGCCCCCTCCCCCTCCATCCACACACACACACACACACACACACACACGAATCAAGACTCCCCTCCTGTTCCCACCCGAGGGGGGTCTCCCCTAGCCCTGCTCCCTGACCTGGCAAAGTCGACCCACTTCTCAATGATCTTCTTGGGCGAGAGGCGGGTGCAGATGATGCCGACAAAGTCCGGCTGGGGGGAGGGGAAGTGGGGCGTTACACTGGGCTGGGGCTGGCCCACCCAGGGACGCCGCCTGGCTCCAGGGGCCATTGCCCCCCTGCTGCGCCCCAGCCCCAGGTGCAGCGTGGCCCTGGGGGGAACGAGGGGTCCCTGCAGTGGAGGGTGGAGGGTACCTTGTCCTCGTGCAGGGCCAGGTGGTGGGTGGCCAGCATGCGGATGCCCAGGCGTGACGTCAGCGTCTTGTCCAGGAAGAGCCGGATCAGGCGCTCGTCCTGAGGGCAGGGCCGGCCTCAGTTTCCCTTTCCCCTCCATGCCTCAGTTTCCCTCCTTTTATCATGCCTATTCCCCCCCTAATATCTCGGCTTCCCCTTCTCAACCTGCCTCAGTTTGCCCCACAATGGGCCCGTCTCCCTGCTTTAATATGCCCATTTCCCCCATCTGTGCCTCAGTTTCTCCCTCACCTATGTGCCTCAGTTTCAATGTGCTGGCTATCACCTGAAACGTGCCTCAGTTCCCCCAACCCAACTCTGTGCAGCAGTTTCCCTGCTTTGTGTACCTCAGTCTCCCCTCACCCCGTATAACAGCTCTCCAAATCAAGGGTGCTAGGACCCCCCCAAAATCCAGGCATCCGGGTCCCACCCCCGCACACACCTGGATGTGGCGCCGACACTCCCGCAGCCCCTCGGCCAGCAGCGTCACCACGTCCTTGTGGTCATCCAGGAGCTGACGCACCAGTTGGCAGTACCGCGCCTCCTCCTCCTGGTCTTTGATCTGGCGGGGAGTGATAAGGGGGGGGCAATTAGGGGACCAGAGACCCCCCCCGGGGGGTGGGCAGAAGGTCGTGGGCCTGGCCCTGGCCCCTGGGGGCCAGTTCAGGCCCAGGATGTGACCAGCTCTGGGTTGGAACAGCCTAGTGGAGCCTGGTAGAGGGGGAACGCCTGGCCACACCCCCTTAGGGCCCAGCCCCCTAGAGATAGCCCCACCCCTGGACTCAGCCATTGCCCACTCCAGCTCTGCACCCTGGACCCAGGCCCTAGCCCCGCCCCCTGAAGCCATGTCTTTACTCTACCCACTGGTCCCACTCATGCCTGAACTCCACCCACCCCATAAACCTAGCCCCACCTCCTAGATACAACCCTGCCCCAGCCCCCCGCCACCCCAAACTCCTAAACACAGCCACTCCCCACTCCAGTGCCGCTCCCAAGCCCCGCCCCCAGGGGCCGGGCCGGGGAGGCGCA